CCGCTCCGCCCCGCCCCGCCGCAGACAAAGCGCGCGGCCGCCATTGGCCCGTTCGGCCAACGCTCGGCGCTGCCCGCGCGGCGCGGCCAATGGGCTCATTGACATGCAAATCAGGGGGTATAAAGCGGGCGGCCCGGGGCGGGAGCGGAGGGAGCGGCGCGGCCATGGCGCCGGGCAGGGAGCGCTCGCCGCACGGCGAGGGCTGCGCGGGGCCCCGCGGCGACCGGAGGGTGAGCGGCGGGGGCCAGCGGTGGCCGGGCCCGGAGGGGCGGGGGGTGCTGACGGCGTTGTTGTCCCCGCAGACGAGGAAGCCGCTGGTGGAGAAGAAGCGTCGGGCGCGCATCAACGAGAGCCTGCGGGAGCTGCGGCTGCTGCTGGCCGACAGCGAGGTGAGGCGGCGGCATGGCGGGGCGGGGGCCGGCGGGGCCCGGGGCCGCGCTGACGGCCGCGGCGCCCCGGGTCAGTTTCAGGCGAAGCTGGAGAACGCGGAGGTGCTGGAGCGGACGGTCCGGGGGGCGGGGGGCGCCCGGCCCGGCCCGCGCCTCACCCGCGCCCCTCTCTGTCCCCCGCCGCGCAGGGGGCGGGCGGCGGCTCCTGGAGGCCAGCGAGCGCTTCGCCGCCGGCTACATCCAGTGCATGCACGAGGTGCACACCTTCGTCTCCAGCTGCCCCGGCATCGACGCCACCACGGCCGCCGAGCTGCTCAACCACCTGCTGGAGTCCATGCCCCTCAGCGAGGGCGGCTGCCCGGACTCGGTCACGGACGTTGTGGCGGAGCCGGCGCTCGGCCCCTGGCCCGCCGGAGCCCGCCCGGGCCCGGCCCTGCCCGCCCCCAGCGAAGAGAGCTGCTCCGAGTCGGACGAGGCGGAGGCCGGGCCGGGCCAGACCCCCACGGACGGACTGGACGCGCCCCAGACGCGGGGCCGGCCCTCGCCCGGCTCGCCCAAATCCATGTGGAGACCCTGGTAACGGCGGAGCGGAGTCAGCGCAGAGCGGCCCGTGCCGAGGGCAGGGTGCCCCGCACACGCGTGTGTCGAGCGTGAGTGCCCGTGTGAGTGTCCGTCCGTCTGTCTGTGGGTGTCTGTGTGCGCGGCTGGCAGCGCTGTGACTGCCGACTCGGGCACTGTCGCTGTCACCCCCTGGCAGCCTAATAGCGACCGCGTTAACATTTCATCCCCGTGCGTGTGTGGCATTTTGTAACTTTGGGGGTTGCTCTTACGAGAGGATGGGGGGAGGAGGGAAGTGGTTTGTAGTAGCAAAGCTCTCTGGTGGAGACACAGCAGTTATTTTATAACCCTGTCTCTTTCTTCTTGGCCCTTAGAAGCGGCCCAAACACCGCTACCTTTTAAGAAAAAGCCCTTGTGCGTTTTGAATCACGATAGTTAATTCCAGGAGAAGCTGGAGCTGAGTCTGCATGCACGGTTTCAAGTGTTCTAGTGATAGCACAGACCCCTGAAAGGTGTCTATACCTGATAGCAGCCTAAAGTCTCACCTTTAGGGAAGGGAGAGAAAACTAGAAACCTGGTGGAATTAGACAAACATTTTAAAAAGATGTTGGTGGCAGGGTGCCTTTTAGAAATGAGTGTCTTTATGCACATTTTGCTTTTAGCACATTTGAGTTTATTGTGACTTTATGTATATTAGGGTGTCAAATGTTTTTTATTTTTAATCTTTAATAAAAAAACCCTGAATTCACAACGTGGCATATATTGTGTAACGTGTGTGTTTCTAACCCCTTCAAAAACATTAAAAATACAGCTCCCTCTTGTTGGCTCTTAACACCAGTGTGTGTATATAATGGAAACAATGCTGGTAATTAAGCACTTAATTCTTGTACTAAGCATTGTTAACTTAGCTATTGGAATTCAAATATTTCTTTTGTTTAATTCTAGTGACACTTAAGTTTATTGAATGAGCAAGGTCAGACTGCTGAGGTTGGTGCTGGGCCACAGAGTTTGAGGCTGGTTGGTCTGGATGCCAGCCTCCAGCCTGCTCTACTTGCTCTGCCATCTGAAGGCGGTGCTCTCACATGCACAGCCCAACTTCAGACGTGCTAGGCAAATCCTGTCCTGGGGCATAACTTCACAGGAGGCTGGTTTGCATTCTGGTTTTTGTTTTTGGAGGGGTTTTTTTAGGTTGGTTTTTGGGTGTTTTTGTTTTGGTTTTTTTTGTGCGTGTGGTGTTGGAGAGCAAAAAGAGACTCAATTGAATGGAGAGTGCAGTTTATTTGGAAGGTGTTCTTTAATGTTTCTGGGGGCTTTGAGGGGGACCCTTGGCATTCTTATCCTGGTTCCTGCTTTGGGGAGATGCCAGGTTATTTTTGCTGTGATACAATACATTTCAGAGAGCTGTCATTGTGAAGAGGAAAAAAAGGATTGTAAAGTGTCTTAATACGTGGAAGTTCCCAAACATAGAACAAGCAAGAAAGGAAGCAACCCAATGACCAAGGGACCAGACATGTACCTTTGTTAATAACCACACGGAATAATAAAAATAGAAACTGAAGCACTGGCAAAGCCTTTCCTTTGTCATTTTCTTTACCTGAGGTGGGTGTTCTTGTTCAAAGCTGTCCTTCACAATGTTTGGTCCTTCTCAGGCCCTGTTGTGCTCAATTCCCTTTGAGCTGGAGGAGAGGGGCAAAATCCAGCTGAGCCAGAGGAGGTGGGAGCCCCTCTGTAGTGACTTTTCTGCTTTAGGGAGGGAGGGTGGGGTTTGAAGTGGAAATGGGGCCTGGGTCACTTGCACTAAAACTAACACCCCACACACCTGCTGCCCTCTGGGACCAAGGCTGCACCTCTCTAGCCCCAGCCCCAGTCCAGGTTTATTTATACCAGTTTCTCTCAGGTCTCACACCTCGCTTGATCCCTCACTCTCCTCTCGGCTCAGCTGCCTGTCGCTCCAAGGGCAGCTCACGCACAGCCCCTCGCCGTGGTGTGACCCTGCTCAGCCCGAGACTCTCGTGGCCAGTGGCTGGAGCAGGCCAGCTCCTGAGCGTGACAGCAGCACTCAGACCCTGCCTGAGCTCAGTGCCTTCAGCAGTGCCACGCAGGGCTGATCCTGGCCCCAGCAGCCTCTCCACTGCTGCAGCAGCACCAGAGGCAGCTTGGCTTGGCTTCATCTCCATGGGCTGAAGACTCTGTTAGGGCTCTCTGTAATGCTCCTGTGTGCAAATCCTTTGGTGTGCTTTGGTGGCAAAACACAGCCCAGAGTCAACATACAAGTGCCAGCTTTGGCTGAGCAGGGGCTGGGGGCAGCTCGAGCAGAGCCATCCCTGCCCAGCAGCCCTACAGATGTGGTGCTCAGCTTCCCTCGACTGCCCTTGCAGAGTGGGAGCCAAAGCAGGGACCTGCTGCCTTCCCCAGGCCTGCTTGTGCTGTGCCCTTCCAGAGCCAGGGGAGCCTTCCCGGGCACAGCCCCTGGCCTCTGCTGCGGGAAGAGCAGGCAGCAGGGCTGGAGGGCACCTGGACAGCTGCTGTCCCGAGTGGAGAGGTTGGGAGGAGCAGAGGGGTTCCAGCCCTTTTCCCCCGAGCACTTGCCGGTGCTGTACTGGCTGAAAAGAAAAGCCAGGTCAGAGCAGCACTACGAGGAGCTTTTCAATAGTGTCAAAAGCATTTTAGAAATGTGGTAGCAATAAGGCCTTTTTTTTTTAAATCCACAAATTAGGTTCACAGAAAGTTTACATCCTCTGATTAGGTGTTGCTGGATTTGTCCATTTGCATTTCTGTACCTTACTGCAAAGGTGTCAAATCTGACACCTGCGTGACAAAGGCAGGAAGAGGTGAGGATTTTGGGGGTGGGACTGGGGAAGGGGCAGTGTGGGGAAGGAAGGTTTCCAACAGCTCTGATGAAAAACCAGGGAAGCCTTTTCAAGTCCTTCTTTATAGAAACTGCATTTACTCTTTTCCATTCCAAAGTAACACAAACAGACCATCTGATCTGACAGTGCACTGCCTTGGAACAGGAGAGAGAGGCAGCACACTAACAGGTCTCCTCTCGTTTGATATTCAGGTGGAGAATAATGGAAAGAAGGGCTCGTTTTCCCGTCTCTTTGCATGTCAGTCACACCTGTTACAGGGGAAAATGCTCCTTGTCAGACCAGGTCACCTGGGAGGACTTAAGAGTTCAAACCTCTTCCCAACCTCTTGACAACATGTCCCAGGTCTTTTATCAGAGCCTCTGGCCAGGAGGCAAGACCAAGCTTTTAAATCACACCAATCAACTTGCATCTTCTTTCATCTCCCACTGGCGAGTATCCGGCAGCTCTCTGCCCTCTCCCTCTCCAAAAAATGTTTCAGTCTCCATTCCAATTAAAGGCACAGGCCTCAGCAGCAGGTCCACGGGGTGCACAGACACCACACAGGAGATCTCTGCTAAGCAGGCACTTGGTTCCTGTCTGTAACACAGCTTACATTTTTATCCATCCAAGATGCTGCTGTTAGCAGAACGGTATCAAAATGTCTCAAAAAAGGAGGATTCATTCCTATGAGAAGTGCTGGAGTGAGTGTTGGTGAATCCTGGCACCCAGAGCCTTGCCACATTATGATAAACTCTCCTCAGATAACAGCCCCACAGCCCCAAGGGGCCATCCACGCTTGGCAGCTCCAGCTGCTGGAGCCCAGTTTCAGGATTTCCCAGTTTTTGGCCCCTTGTCCAAGCACAGCTCTGCACGCACTCTCACAGCAGCAGCTCTCCAGTCCTGACTGCTCCCCACCCTGCACACACACAGGTTTTACAGATCTGTGTCCAGCTGCTGGTGCACTCTCAAACTTGCTCTTTTCTCTGGAGATGAAAACAGCTGGGTCAAGCAGCACCTCTCCTGTCAGGTGTGCCTAGGCCATGGTCTGGGCATCCCTGCTTAACCTGGTACCCACAAGGCAGTATGGATGGGACTGGGAGTTGTCTTGGTTTGAACAGACAGGTGTCTGCTAAGGAAGGCAGGAGCCTCCCCTGAAATGGAAAATGCAAACCCCCTCCCTCTGAATTATTATAATTTTGAAATTAAGGGGCTCTCAGGCAAAGATATGGGAGTGGGAATAACAGTTCTAACTAGGTAACAAAATTTTAAAAACCCCCAAAACCAATGCAGTAATACAAAACAACCCTGCCAGAGCCAGAACATGCCTTACCTTTCAATCCAGGACATGAGGGAAAATCATCTTGCTCCAGAGAGGAGCACAATGGTTCCAAGGTCATATGGAAAAAGCAGGGATTCACAAACTAATCCAGCTGTCTTAATCAGAGGCCTACCTTTCCTCTGCCTCCTAAGAGATTTCTTTTTCTTTCTGCACGAGATGCCCAGTTCCAAGTTGCATCCTCTAGCAAATTCCCAAGTTCACAATCATCTAAATGGATAGTGTCTCTACCTTGTCCACTTTGGGCCTCTCAGGCTTCTGCATGAGCTGAGCTAAAGGAAAAGCAAAGGGGAAAAACAGTCTCTCTGCTTCAAGGAGATTTTAGCTCCCTACACAACATTAGCATTTCATTATAGTTTTCAGCAAGTGAAATTCATTGCACTGCATTTTAAGGAGGTTAAAAAAATATCTAAGCTGGTTCATAAAACATTCAGACATGAAAATACATCTCAGAGCATGAGGCCTTGAGTTAAATTTGTTAAACAAGATGATGAGTGAGGGTGATTTGATTAGTTACACTGCCTATGTTGCATTACACAGATGTTCTATTGCTCACTTACTAGCTGAGGAAGTCATGGCTTCAAGAAGTCTTTTAATCCAATAAAGTAGAGCCTTAAGTGCCAAGACCTAGACAGTAGGTCCAGATTGTTTGACATGAGAAGAAATAGGATTGAAATTAGACACCAGAAGAAGTAATTAATTTCCTTTCTTTTAATGTCAAGTGAGACAGAATATATTTCCAGAAGCAAATACAAGTTGCTTTGGTTACAAACAAAAACTACTTAGTAAAACAACAACATACAAATAATTATATTAACTGATCCCTTCTGGCCTTGG